CACGTCGACACTTTTTTAAACTTTGACATCAATTTATTGCTATTTAGGACGAAAAACAATTAATCAATTGCATGCCACTATATTCGGGAAACTCTCCTCTATCTTTTGAGACTGATTAGAACTTTCTAGTGTTTGTACTTTTCATGCAATACCTCATTTTTGTCGAAAATTTTGGGTTTTTACAAAAGTTCGTTTATTTAAAAAACTGAGGGCGATGGAGCAATTCGATTTTCGGATTCTTGTTGAGGGAGTGAAGCTCTACAAGAATTTCATAGTGGCTATAGGTACCCAAAAATCGTGTCGGACAGTGTTATTGGCATAAAAAATGTCATGAAGGACATTTCTACTTATTGTGATAGTATTAATTATATACAAGGTTATCGTACTTGTTACGTTATTATCATCTCTATACAGGGTGTCCCAATATTTCACACTCAAAAATGTAGAATTAAATGTTATTCTACGTTTACAATGCAGTTTTTGCTGTAAAAACCTCTTGTACCATGAATAATGTGAAACCCTGTATACAAAGTATCTTATATAACTTGCAATCTCAGGGATGCTTATTAAACTTCATCAATGCGTTGCAACATGTGTCTGCAAATCCTCCAGACTGGTGAACGGTTTTTCGCACAACTGACACACATAAGCGTTCTCATTATGAATATCTAAATGATCGGATAGCTCTTCCTCGTTCTCAAAGAGTTCATCACATATCATGCATTGGTACTCGGTAGCTTTTATCCCCTGCTTCTCCCATTCCGCGATTGCAGCCTCTTCTTCATGTGCCTGCATATGCATTTCCAAAAGCATCTCCGAATTGAAGGAGGCTGTGCATTGAAGACAATGATAGGAGGAGTCATCTCCAGATTTCTCGGTTTCATTTGCGATATTGATAAGATTAGGATTGTCGTCTTCTTCGTCAAACAGATGCTTCTCAACATGTGCCTCGAGCGCATCCTCAGAGTCCAACGTGTTCCCACAGATTGCACATTGATATTGTTCTTTACCGATGCTCTGGTCATCCTCGCTCATGTCGTTGCAGTGCTTTTGCAAATGATCCTTCAGCACTTCGTCGTCTGTGAATATTTTATCGCAAACAAAACATGTATATGTCTTCTTTGACATCGAGGGTTCTTGTACATCCTCTTTCAATCCCTTAGTTAACTGAATACTGCTCTGATCTGGCGAAATCTCTGACTTCACTTCAAATATATTCTCCGTCTTCGACTGAGTCTTTTCCGATTTATCGTGTCCTACATCCTTTGAATTTTTAGTTATGTTCTCTATATTGAATTCGGACTGATCGTGGCTCTCCAAGTGCCGTACCAGCAGCTTCTCAGTCCTAAAAGTCGAGTTGCATACGTAGCACTTATGCAGCTGCTGCTTCGTAGACTTGCACACGTGAGATTTCACGAATTTTGCCTCAACTATCTCGTGGCACCGTTTGCATCTCATCATTTTGTGCTTGCTTTGTCTAGCAGAAGACTCAGATTTGTGCATTCTAACATGGGCTGCAACCTCGTTACGACTGTTGAACGACTGCTCGCAAACGCCGCAGGTATGCTTCTCATCTAGAGGAGAACTGATTTTAATGTCTTGATTTTCTACTTTTATTTCATTGCTAATAGCAAGTTTGATTGCTGTACCATTGATCTCTGATTTAGATTCCTCATTTTGCAATCCTGCAGTTTGCTTCTTCACAATCTCTTCCGATTTGTGGACACTGTTTTCAGCTTCTGGCTTAGATCCTTCGCAAGTTTCTATTTCGTCCGACATGTTAGAGTCCGAGTCCAGAGGGGAAGTATTGTAATCGTTATACCTAATCGGCAGAACGCTCTGTCGTTTGTGAGACACCATACTAAACGGTCCACCAAGTTTGTTTTTAACAGTACGCTTAATTATAAGATGAATATTATTAATATTTCGTTGTTTAGTCTCTTTGACTACGTCTAAACGCTTTAAAACAACCTTCGGCTGATACTTCTTTGAATTCTCTGCCTCTTCGATCAATGTGGGAGAAATGCTTCTGGATTTCACATTGGTGTTGAGCACTGATCCGCAGCTCCTCATCATGGAAGATTCGAAATTTTTCTTTATGGTTTTTTCAATTATATTTTTCAGCTGTTGGTCCAGCGTTTGGTAAGAACTTTTGCAGCCGTTCCTTCTTTCATTCTCTTTATCGTTGTTGGCTATCCCAAATATTCTGGGCTTGATCTCCTTTTCCACGAAGCCTGCTATCTCCAATTGCACGAGTTTCAGGGACTCTATCTCCGTTCCCTCTACTTCTATGTTTAAACACCTCTCGATGCATTTCTTGTCAGTGGAATCAGTTGGAACTGGATTTATTCTACGAAGCTGCACAGCGTCGATGATATCGGTGTTCTTCTCCTGAGAATTATGTTCCACACCATTGTCCTTTTGCCCTTCGGATAGATTGTTGGAGCTTATTTTACTCAGCGGTTCTGCGAGCATCAAAGTAGAAGTAACTATGTATGTGGCATCGCCGACTTCTAGTTCAGATTTCACTGAACAGGGGGTGAACGTGTCCTCGACGATTTCAATGTCGCTTTTCTTGGCTGACGTTTCCGTCATAGAGTTCTCCAGCATCAGCAATAAAGAATTTTCTTTCTCGTTCGAATCATCCTCCGGGAATTTATGTTTCTTTACGTCCAGTTCTGCGGAGTCTTTCGTGTTTTTACTTTCGGTTAAAGAGATGTCGGAATTAATATCTTTCGAAGACTTTGCTTTCCGCGAGTCGGAGTCCGTGGAATCTATGCATCTAAAATCGTTGCTGTCAGGCTCAATATTATATTTATTCGACATGATAGTTTCCAATTGTTTCAGAGTCATTGGCATCCTCTTGTGCTTTTCGCTTTCTTTGTCCATAATCGTTTTCGCTCTCGCTTTCTGAACCGGCGATAATTGAGTATCATCCGAAGCCAAGGAGTCTGTGTCGGATACGCTTTCTCCAGTCGCTGCTAAAAGCGCTCTTTTCCTGGCAACCCATCTTTTGGTAGAGGCTTTTCTCTGTTCCATGGTTTTGCTGCGTTTACCCGTCAGTAGTTTTGACTTCGTGGGAATCAGCGACGATTTCGATTTCTCATCTTTATTTAGAAATTCTTCCTTGCTCTTGTCTTTATCGTCATCGGACCCGTCGTTCAGCCTTTGCGAGGAATCCTTGGAGGATGTCACATCATCTTCGGATATGTATAGGTCCTTTAATTTTGTTTCATCCTTTACACAATCGACATTCGTGTATTCTAATGGTATTAGCGGCGGCACTTCGGTCTTTAGTTTCTTCTGAAACAAATAGATTTATATGGTTAAACGTATATACAACTCTCTCTCTCTCTCTCTCTCTCTCTCTCTTTACTATCTTACTTTGCAATCGATACCAAAGTTTACGTGTTTTAACTTCTTCTAAAGGTCTCTATCTTACAAAGATATAAAAATATATTCTCGTACTATAGAGAATTTATAAATTTGTCCTCTACACGCACAGCATTTTATAAACAGAATGATTCTTAAAACCAAAACTTTGACTTTTCTTTTTTCATCGAAAGAATTTGTATTGATGTTTATAACAATTGTTTATTTGTTACTGAAGCGTAAAAATTGGTATTATATAGAGATATCAAGAGTACCTTTTCAACAGAGTCAGAGAGACTATCTTGCCCGCTCTGTTGCAGATTGTCGCAGGTCACAAAAGGCTTTGTAATCTAGCATTAAAAAGAAAGAGCAAAGTATGAATAAATTCTACTAACTAGTAAATTAAATTTATTGTAAAAATACTATTATATTGTACCATATTGTCAGGATTTCCTATAAAATCCAAATGCTCTATCAACATTTTATTCGACTGTATAAACTGCTCCTTGAACTCGTGCCACAAATCCAATTTATATAAACATACGTGGCAGAGAGTGTTTGGCAGACCGTCTTCATCCTTAATCTGCGACGAAAGATTATTCGGTGATAGAATAATAACTAATATGCAGATGCCAGTGTAATGTACAGAAAAAGATGATGTAAACAACCTACATGAATAGAGGTGCACTTAATGAGATCATTCAGTTTTGGTCGTATAACTTCATTGAAAAGATCGCTCATGCAACCGTCGTCAACTAGGCAGATACGACATCTTTTCCTTTCATTCGATAATTTACGTTTTCGTGACATTCTGTTCGTTTTGTGAAAAATAGAAATGAGATTCAACTTATATGTCTCGGTTACCGATACCAAACACAGTGAAGTACGTTGCGAATCAAATATGATAGTTGCTACTTGCTGTTACTACGTCGATTGATACATCGAATTATATATCGATGTTGGTCTCAAATTTTCAATATCGTTATCGGACTCCACGACACGACAGTGATTGAACTCTACTGATAGCTGGATGCCACTGGATGGCAAAGAGCCAGCAGTTTAGGCTGATAGACAAACGAAACCACATCACAATACCATAGAGGAGGTATAGAAGCAGATCTGACACCCAATGTATTATCACGGACGAGGTATCAGAATAGAAGAACCCTTAGGACGTCCTAAGTTAGGACCCCCAAATCTAGCATAGAAAAACCCATAACATCCAGTGACTGTACTGATCCTGAGTCTGTGGCAACGTCTATTCCTATTCCTCATGTTATCATAGACCTAAAAGGCTAGACTGCTTAGCGAGGAGATAACGGTAGAGAACACAGTTACCGACAAAATGAGACGAAAACATGAATTTACGGGGCGACACTTAACTACCTTAAATCAGCATCTTTTTCAATGTTTATTGGTATCATTCGAAAGAGTATGGTTCAATGCAGTGCGCGAATGTCAGACTTCATGAGAATTATGCAGATATTTGCTAATATAAATCTTAGAAAGAAAAGTAAAAATTGATGGTGCCGAAGCCATGGAATCCAAGCAGTTTTATGCCATTGGATTTTTGTCGATGAAAGTCTGACATTCGCGCACTGCGCATTGAATCTACCTTTTTCGAACGATACCAATAAATATCGAGAAAGATGCTGATTTAAGGTAGTTAAGTGTTACTCCGCGTAAATACATACCGTTTTTGTATCAAAATTCATGATATCGATAATATAGAACAAACAATTTGACAAGTTTAGTTATACTGATGCTTATAAGGTGGCGCCTAAGTAGAAGGACTAAATTATACTAAATTATACTAACTAAATTATACTAGCTTATATTTTTTGTTACTATGTTGTACAGAGAAATTTATAAAAGCGTCTAGTCATAAAATACGTCAAATGATAATGTGATGTGATATAATAAGAGAGCGTATGTAAGAATAGCAGGTCTATCAACCATGAACGGATAACAGTGTAAAAGGGAAAGATTATTTCTCTATCACTTTAATAAAGCTAACCTAAACCTAAACCTAAATGTAGATGCAAGCTTGAATTGTGGTTATGTCGGATGCCTATTCGCTCATCGGCAGTATGCATCTGTATATGTAATTTTCATATACGTAATTTTTGTGTATATGCAATTGTTATGTACATGCAAGTACTCCTCTAGTTCGGTTTTTCGAATACGTGGGAACGATTAGCAGTTGCAAGCAGTTGTCCATATTCATATACCCGTAGAGATTACGTTCTACACGTTATACAAAAAATAAATATAATAAATGTAATATTATGTCTGTGGAAAAGACACTACACTACATTTTCAAACTAAATTTTCGCATTAACTTCTCTTCTTCCAACTTTTCCTTATTATATTATCTTATCAGCTTACAAGCTGTCGTTCAAAATAATTTAATTTATAAATTCAGTTTTACAACGTAATATGAAATTGAAAAATCATATTAGCACTCCTCTATAATTATATCGCCATTTTTATTTAAAAAATCCTTAAACATAAATCGAAAGGGTCATTCCATGCGAAATCGGCAGGCGTGTGCGGGAACCTGAAGTTCGGGACGAGTTCGTGGCAATTCTAAACATCGAAAATAGAAAAAAGATTTTAAATAAAAAGGGAAAATAACCAGAAGTGACCACAGAACTGGACCGGAAATCAGTATTGGTTACTCCGAAGGTTCATCCTTGATCGGGCCACTTCTGGGAAAGAACCCTCTAAAACCCACCCGCTTCCTCGAGCGAACGAACCGCAACTGACTGAAGAATAGCTCTGAGCCGAACAGATAACCGAAAGGTACCCCACCACTCACTTCGACGAACGTTGATCGCGTGTTCCATGACGATCGATATAATTTCGATTATTTCTAATTATTTAATGTTCGTAACAATTTATTTTACAAGGATGCTATCCAGTGCTCGCATGACAACTTTATCATTTAAATTGTTTATAAAACATACCAACGAGATTTTAATAACAAGAGACTTCTAATTGCACAAATCGATCGGCTAGTTATTAAATCGAATTTATTTCGTTAATAAATATATTATTTCTTT